TGTCTAGTTTACACTACTACTGAATGTAATATCATACCATAGTGATTAGGATATAAAATATTTAATGTAATGAAATGTGCTACTTATGGATTTTTTTCAATTCTGTAGATACTGAGTTTTTTGTATCTCAATATTATTGAATTATTTTAATGATATATGCAACAAGACAATCAGTGCACTGGTAGGTAGTTTTTCACTAGATGTTCCTGAAAATAGTTGAGGCAATTTGTGAACTTAACCAAGTCAGAATGTATGTATTTTGTAAGACATATAATAAAACCAAGGACATATTTCTTTTAGGAGGTTAACTGTTCTATCTCACAGCCTTTATATACAGAAATCTGCTCATGGTAGAAGACAATTTATAATTAATTTAATATTTCAGTTTTGCTAACCTGGTCTTAGATAATGATTACAATTTTTTTTGTCTTGAAATGTATCACCAACAGGTAGGTGACTATAGAATGCATTTTGATACAAGGGATTTTTCCTATCTTTTTCATTAGAAATTATTATGAGAAACATTTTATTATGCATACAATAACTTTATTGTCATTTTGAATGTACACTAATCGGCATACATTAAAATGAAATTTCATTGAATACAGCTCTCAAAGGGCCACCACCTGCAATACACATTACATAAAAAGGACAAAATAAATAAATAAAATAAATACCCACATATATGATAGAGGAACAACAGTCTAGTTCATATGTACACATGTACATGGTGAGAAAATTGAATCTTGCGGGTTTACCAGATGGATGGCATAGCTGTTACAGAAATACTTTGAAACCTCCCCCCAAAGGGGAACAAAAACAGACCATAAAGTGTGTGTGTGGGGGGTCTCTAACAAAGCTTTGAGCTCTAAGCACATAGTGCTTATAAGCAATATCCTGAGTAACAGGAAGTGAGTTCCTATAAACTTCTCAACTGTCCTTACCACTCTTTGAATGGACCAAACCAAAGTGATGCTGATTAAAATGCTCTCAATTGCTCTGCAAAAAATGGGTAGGATAAAAGGAGAAAGATGTGCTTGCTTCATCTCACGCAGGAAATGCAGATGCTGGTTTACATGCTTCACTAAGGATAACACGTGGAGACACCAGTTCAAATTGTTAGTTATCTGCATGCCCCAGATATTTAGTACTATTGACCACCTCTACAGTTGCATTCTTGATACTGAGTGGAGTATGACTATGTCTTTCTAAAATTTACCATGACCTCCTTTTATTAACATTTAGAATTATAATCAGGTTACTTTTATTGCATCAGTCCACCAGAACCTTCACCTCTTCCCTATAAACATCTTCATTGTTGTCTCAGATAAGACTCACCACTGCTGTGGTTTCATTTTATACTTTGAGCTATTATGAAAATATGGGAGTTCACAAAGTAGTTAATTCAAGTAAACCAGGGAAATACTTGTTACTATTTATAATTCCCACCTACCTAATGATCAACATAGCCTTTCCTGACTAACCACACAACCCTTTTTGCTCTTCTTCCATTTTAGTTTTTACAGTTCAGGGTAACTTGTATTTTCCTTTGTTTGTCAGGTAAGAATATGGGCAGATAAAACTTACATTTAATACCTTCTAAATATTTAGAAATCTTAAAATGTTAATCATTTTCCTTAATGACAGTTTGTACATTACAGTAACATTTCTAGCATTAACAAAGTGTAATCTTTGAAAAACTCAATTTGTTTTTAATTTCACTGAAAAACAAACTATATTGGTTTTTTAAGGGCAACAAACCTCAGTGCTTCCTCATCTACTTGTGGCATTTATTTTGGATTTCCTGTCTTTTTCTCATTCTTTAATTTTTCACCATTAGCCAGTGTTGGCTAGATGCTGCCAAATGGAGCTTCCATATTAATATACTGTGATAATGTAACAAGCTAAATAAATTTGCAGCTTCTCAATTTACTTATGCCATCAGTAGCCTTCCTTTGCTTTCAGCTATTTGAAAACATCTGACTTGTCTAATTGATTTAAGATATGCAGAGTTTTGGCTCAACATTAATCTTTTTTGATGCTCCCCATCAAGGTGTCTCTGGGGTAAAAATTAATTTTTCCAAGAAAATACCAAGAATTCAAATGTCTGGAATACTTTTCTGCTTATANGATTTGCTTTCTTTCTGATGGATGGATGGAAATAGTTGCTCTCGGTGAAAATTGCTACTAATTTTGATAGTCTTAGATTATTTTTAAAATGAAGCTATTAGCAACAAAATTATTAAAAATTAATTGTTAAGTAAAACTTTGTATAAACACGCAAATAACAAAAGAAATCATTATATCATTATTCTCTAGTATTAAATCAATCTGGTGAAAAAATTCTTTATAGAAACATGGTTACCTATAGTCTTTGAAAATTATTAATATGTTAAATAAAATGACCATTTGAAAAATAATGTAATAAATCTTTCTCATCTAATGGACAGTGCTAGCAGAGATGGTGGAGGAAAATTACAGATGTTTAGTGATTCATGGGAAATAAGAATTCTGTATTTGTTGTTGCCATTATGATTTATCTTAAAAGTTGCCCATTTTTTTGCCCTCCAGAGGTTTATCACGAGCAAGGACTATGGCATATTTTGGGGAAGGAAAAGGTCCCATTCATGTGGATAATGTGAAATGCACAGGAAATGAAAGATCCCTTGCTGATTGCATTAAACAGGATATTGGCAAACATAATTGTCGTCACAGTGAAGATGCTGGTGTCATCTGTGACTATCTTATCAAGAAATCATCCAGTAGTAAAGGTGAAATGAACATAAAGTTCAATAATTCTCTTTTCTGTAAATTGTAAAGAAATATTGGGGAGTATTTGGATTGTTTTTAGGAGGGAATTGTTTGATCACTTTGCTTGCCCTTTGAAGTACTCTCTGTATTTACTGGCTGGAAAATTTAACTTCTCTGCTTTGAGCCCTATTCAGATTCTCTTGCTTCAGTATGTGGTTTAAGAATATTGCATCGTCGCCAAAAAAGGATTATTGGTGGAAAAAACTCCTTAAGGTAAATTACAGATACCAAATTAAAATCACAAAGCCATGCTTCCCTTTCCCTGGCTCCCCTACATTTGTGTAGCACCACACTATGATTGCATCAGGCCTACCTATGGCAGATTCTCATGGCATAGTTGCCCGGTTAAAGGGCATGGCTTCCAAGGAGTGCAGAAAATGTGTTCAAACCATCAGGATCTGAGCTCTGTTTCTCCATCCAGTTGAAGGAGTGCATCTCCCCTCAAGAGACAGTTCTTTCTGCCAGTCCCCAGAGAGGAGAGATAATCCTCTCAGCAGGCAGCAGCAGCTTGCAATCTTTCTTGCTGTTTCCCCACTGAGTTTCTGGAGAAGTCAGCAGAGAATGTTGTAAATATCTATCATGATTGCAGGGCATTTGGGACCAGTCTTAAATGTGAATAGGTTGCAATGCTCCTAGATGACCACAAGTGTGTGTGGCTTGACATTTTGCAATGGCCAAAAGTGCTTATAAGCCATAAGAAATGTTTCTGAGGGAGCCATAACTTTGAATAGTTAAACGTTAAACAACCAATTGAAAGTCAAGGACTACATGTACATCAGTGATGGACACACTGTTGGAAGACCAGAAGGATCAGGTTAGGGACAGATGATCTTAGAAAAAATCTAGGTGATGTGTTGACACCAACTTGGTGATACAAAACCAATCAAATATAAAAGAAGAATCTAATTCATTAACCGAAGATGCACCTGGCTTATCCGTGAAAATCTGAGTCTGTGGAGTGAAAACATACCATTGCTAGCTAAATACTTACTAGGCATCTTCTATAATTGCTAAAAATGAAATTTTCATATTTGGAAGAAACAGTCATGTATGCAGTACCTTAATTTTAAAATGGTATGTTGGGTTGCAATTTCTCTAACACATGGCTGCAGAGAGTCCCCAATTTTTGGTAAAACATTAGATGCAATGGAAGAATTGCAGAGGCAAACAGATATGAAGTCTCTCTTGTGGGAGCAGAATTCCATAAAGTATTTTTGGTTTTTTAAAAATGCAAATCCTTCAGAAGTATACCTTTGATTTTAAAAAAAGGTGGAGCATGGAGAAGCTAAAATTAGCAAGGTATACCTTGAATATGATGACAGCTGTGCTTTCAATGTCAATTCTTATGCATTATATTAATGATGATAAAAACCTGTATAATTGTTCACTTTTCTATGTGGAGCATTCTCAATTTAAATGAATGTGTCATATATTAAAATAATATTTTTAATTTATTTATAAAATTAGCAAGTGTTTTCCCATGTCTCAGTATTTGTCACTCATTATTTCCACTAATCTAGATCCCCAAAGGACCATAACATTGCAAACCTAACTTGCTAAAATGCTTGTTTGCTTCCCCCCCTTCCCAATAAGTATGGAGGTGTAGAAAGAATGCTTTGATAAATTCAGAATAAAGTGGTTGGACAAGTTTGTTTGTCCTGTTTGTTGCGAAATGGACTACAACACTATTTTTTTTGCACTCAGACAAATACATAAACATATTTTTATTTTTAACTTTGGAACTTTCATATTAATTATATATCTATATCTATATCTATATCTATATATATCTGTTATTTAGGGGTGGTTGGCCCTGGCAAATAGCATTGCGCATTAAATCATCCCATGGAGATGGAAGACTTCTATGTGGTGCCACTCTTATCAGCAGTTGCTGGGTGCTTACTGCAGCACATTGTTTTAAGAGGTATTGTTGCAAAATTTACAGAGTGTGTTAGCATGATAATGCAGAAAGACAAAAATAATAAAATATATGGATTCTGTATTTGCTCTGAAACTGTGCTGTAAGAAACATTAGCTAAGTTCTTAAAACACATACAATTTATTAGCATTCCACATATTTTTACATTGCTTCTGTAATCTGGAATGCCTTCATTATTCTGAAAAGCTTGGATTGACTTAAATATATGAAAATGAAGGAATGGAAATTGAAAGGCAAATCAATAAGTTTGTCCGTAGATATAAGTCAGCTTTCCCCAACTAGGCACTTTCCAAATGTCTTGTGAATACAATTAACAGATGGAAATTTGATGGAACAAACATATGATGTAAATCTGTAACTCTGCAAACAAGCAGAAAAAAAGAGATAAAACGTTCAAGCTTTCCCAAGCTATGTTACTTGTTCCTGAACCTGAAGGTCAATATGCTGCATAGTGGTGCAGTGGCTTTTATTACTAAACGTATGTTTAAGTTTCCAAAAACTATATATAGTCAAGGCATTAATGATACCTTACAGAATTTTGCTGCCATTTAATCAGTTGGTTGAATCTAAGAATTGTTAGCAAAAGGTAAGTGAACCTGACATTGTCTACATGTAGCAAGCGTTAAAGAAATAACTGTATCGGATATATTGAACAATTGTCCAGCACAAATGGTCAGTTTTTGAAATTTTCCCCACATGATGCCTTATGTGTAAAATAATTTTATTTTATGCGAAGATGCATTCTTTATGAAGAAATGTGGAGCAAGCATTATGGAAAAAAATCTGTCAATTAAACAGCTATAAACAGTAATATATATATATATATATATATATATTACCCTGACATTGTTCTTTTGGTAAATTCATGATCTCTTATCTTCATTAGCATGAGAATCTGTTTATTAGGATATTTCAACATAGGTAAAAAGGAAGATATTATTTAATATGTATTACATATGNTATTTCTAGGAATCATTACTGGGAATCCAGTCATACAAATTGGTATCTTCAGAATCAGAGCAGCATGTATATCTATCCCGCAAAACGGGGAAAATCATTTTTACAGTCCAAGTTATTATCCGTTTAATTTACAAACATTAAAATTATTTTTCATAAATCCAAGATGCCAACTAGCATAAGGTGTTAGCACTCTCCCCCAGTACCTTTCTCAATAGTTAAAATGCTTTTCAAACCCTTGGCAAACTGCCAATTAAAATTCCCAAAACTCGTTTTAAAACATCAGTTTCCTATTACAGATCTGCAGGAAGTCCCTCGAAACATTTGCCTAAGTTTAACCTCATACGGGTTCATGCTATTGTTACAACCACTTTTCAAACTTAAAACGGCACACATACGCGCACACAGCGAAGCTGCATAAAATTATACGTAAGGATGTGACTTGCCCAAGTCAGAGTCTCCCCCCAATGCAGTGAGGGGAGCTATGCCAAAAAGCAAGACGACGGTTGCTATGCCATGAGTAGGAAGGGAGGCTGCCACTCTGGCAGGTCCCATGGAAGCATGGCGTCTCGAGACACGCGCGCGCAACAGCGAGGTGTGGGGGAGGGGAAGGAGGCCGAGACTCCCGCCCTTCACACCGTACGGGGGGACACGTGTGGCCTTCGCTGCTTCCTGAGGAACCGACCGTTAATCTGCTTTGCCAGTGCGAAAGCAAGCGGCTCCTCCCAATTCCTTCAGTCCTCCAGCCCCACGTCTCCGCTCTCTCGTGACCGTCCTCGGGCGCCTCTCCGTTCTCCACTTTACATTTCCTCATTCGTCCGTTGGGAAGGGGTTCTTAATAATCGCCCGCCATTTTACCCAAGGGTTTCGCCGCCGCCGCCGCCGCCGCCTCCCACTCCAGCCCGCTCTCCTCGCTGAAGCTCAACCTCAGAAATCGAAAAACCGGCAGGGCGCAAGCGCCGAAACTGTTCAGCTTTCCCCGCCTTCGTAACAACTCTAAAAAGTTCCAGCAAATGACTGGTATATTTTACAACGGCGTGGGGCGCTTATTCAAATGTTGAAGCGAACAGCCTTACCCGTGTGAGACTCATTCTTCCAGGGCAGGACATTCCCTTATTGCCCCAACACCAGCCACACTCTTCCTACAATCGAAAAGAACGAGCCAACCGCCGTCTTCGCCCTTTTATCCTTGGAGAGATACCACGCCCATTGGACGGCGTGGTGGAAAGAGGGCGGGGCTGCAGGTGCTTGCTCGCGTTCTAACTCTGCGACCGCGTGACCTGTTCCAACTGCCCTTCTATGCGTCGCCTTTGCGGTATCGCTGTTGGTTTCTGCTCTTCTGCTTTTCCCAAAGCTTGTAATCGTAGATTTAGTACCCTGCCAGTCTTCTCTCTTTATTGTACTTTTGCAACCTTCCTAGTATTCCTTTCTCTCTCTCAGCTCTTAGCTAATTAAAATGATGCACAACACTACTTTAAATTTATTGATTCAAGTATTTAACAATTGAATTTAAAGCTTTTAATCACAAGAGAAAGATGACTTCATATGGCACAAGTACAAGTACAAGTACTTAGCCTTGATCTTCATTCTGTAATGTTTACAAATTTGCCAGGAATGAGACACAATCAATTTCGTTGTATTTAAGTACAATGACAATTAAGATTATACATACATTAAATAAATTAACCAATTTTTGACAATAATTGGATTCAAAAAGTGATTAAAAGTATTCCATAATTTTACTATATTTATTAATTTAAACCAATGTTATATTTTTAGCTTTTTTACATTTCACATTAATATGCAATGAAATGTATTGCAACATGTAAATAAAATATTCTTTGTTGTATAGTGTCTGGTCACTAAGGTGCATCAACAATTACACAGAACTCTTAGTTTTTGCTGCCCCTAGCTGTCATGGATTTTAAGTCAAAATTTTGTCTTATTATCACCATATTTGTATTTCCTCTTTGTTACTGTATAGCCTCTGGATTTTTTGCTGTTAAAATTGGAATGCCTTAAGTAATGACATTAAGTTTCATTTGTTACAAATGTCCAAGACATATTTCTAGGAATAAGAAGATTCTGAGTTCAAGACATTCAAACTATAGTTCAAAACATGTGAACTATTATATTGATTGACTCTGGCTAAAATTAGTATCATATTGAGAAAAGGCAGTTATTTCCTTAGGCACCACCTCCTCCACAATAAACGCAAGTATATTTACTTCTACAGGAGAAAATTATCATGCAGAAGGATGAGCAAGATTATGCCCATTGGCCTTTCCTATAGTTCAGTTGCCAAAGAACCCTTAATCAAGTATGGAATCAGAAAAATACATTCATGAAAACATAATGCACAATACTGAAAAAACAATGTAATTAAAAAAAACATCTTTCGATGAAAGCTCTTAATTTCAATTTTGAATTTAACAGGTTAAGCTCTTTTATGAAGATTATAAAGTTGAGAACCCTAGAAATCAAGGATTTATAGGTAATCCTTGATTTACAACCATTCATTTAGGGACTGTTTAAAGTTGCAGTGGCACTGGAAACAGTGACGTATGACCAGTCCCCATATGTATGACCATATCCAATATGATCAAAATTTGGGTGCTTGACAACCAGCATGTATTTACAATGGTTGCAATGTCCTGGGAGAGGTGGGGTTGTCTTTGATCTCTATTTGCAACCTTCCCAGCTGATTTTCAACAAGCAAAATCAATGAGAAAGCTGGATTTGCTTAACTACGATGTGATTCACTTGTAGTAATTCACTTAAGAATTGTAGCCGAAAAGGTTAAAAATCAGGCACAACTCAGTAAACAGGCATCTTGCTTAGCAATAACAATTGTGGTCCCAACTGTGGTTGTAAATCAAAGACTACCTGTATAGATTTGGGACAGATTTGGGTTTCTTTCTGCTGCCCCTAGAAGGATTCATGACTGATGTGAGTGAAGGGCATTCTCATAAAGATTATAGCAGTGCTGGGATTAATTGCTCCAGGTTCACCATACATCGAATACACAGTCTTAGTATTTCACCAATAAGTACTTTATTATAATAAATGAATGCATGTAAACAGACTTGCTTTAAATGGATGTTCTTTGTATAACTCAGAAAAATCCATGGATCCTGTGCATTAGTTCCTCTCAAGAGAAAGGCTAAGGAAAACTTTTCCCCCTTGTGTAATTTCCTCAGAGAAAGAGAAGTGTACATTCCTCATGCACGTGCTCCTAAAATGGCACATTTGCATCCACAATCTGTCAATCTTACATTACAAATTGTACAGTTGTTTATAATTTCACTTTTTAAACTCAGATATGTTGAAGTAAATTGCTTGATGGAGTATTTTGGGAAAATATATTGACATGAGTAAAAGAAGAGCTTATAAAAGAAGTATATGATTGGTTAGCAATCCAAGGTCATTCAAAAGTCAGATAAAATAACAGAAATTGGCAGCCAACCCATTTGAGGACATATTAATTTGGTACAGCTTCAAGTAAATAAATGGAATTGTGTATACATAAACCTAGCGATTAATGATTTAGTGGGATTAACTGACATATATTTAACTGTTATTTCACTAAGTATAGTGTTATAAAGTATCTAAGTATTTCATATTAAAATTTAAATTATTAATTAAAAATGTTTAAATAGTTTTAGAAAGAATCAAATGGATTAAAGTCTATAGAAATTGATTCAAATCACACCATTTACTCTCCCCAAGAAATGGGTTAAAATAATAAGAACAAGTATATTTAAAACATTTGCAACATATTTTACACTTATACAGATGGGGAAAAACCCCACAGCATCTAATTTGCATGAATATTTGTAATAAAGCCCCAGAAGGAGGGATTCTGAAGATGATTCATAAGACTTCGTAAATTCTTAAAGGTATAGTCAACTTAACATTTGGTATCAAATATCATTTTGCTTTAGAATATAGAATGCATTTTTTCTAGGGAATTTTGAGAGTTGCAATTCCCTATCAAGATCTCACATAGAAAATTTGATTCCCCCTGC